TTCCCTACATGCATTCAGTCACGTTGGGAGAGAGAGACCTAAGTGTATAATTTGTCCCAAGTCTCTAAAGTTACAATTTTTCCAGCGTGAACAAAACGTTTTTAGCTGCATTTCTGCTTCCTGAGATGACATGAATGTGACTTACACAGAAATTAAAGCCGGAAGGGACCACTGGACCATCTAGTCTGACCTTGTACAGCACAGGCCACATGCTTCATCCATTATTTCATATCAAGCCCAAGCTGTACTTAGGTCAAATATTTCAGTTCTTAAAAACAAAACAGAACAAAATGTTGCATGCTGGGGGTAGAGAACAAGAAAGTTCATGGCATCCCAAAGCTCCTGCAATGGCAGGGAATCGTTTAGGTGCGAGATGCCCAGATAATCCCAGCAAAAAAAAAAAAAAAAAGAAAAACCACCAAGGTTCTTGTCAATCTAACCTGGGAGAAAATTCCCATCTGATTCCAAATTTGGCAAATTAGGGCCATGCCAGCATGCCATACTTGCCAGGTAGCTAAGATGATACTCTGCACTGCATAGAGCACAAGCCCATCCAATTCAGCATCCTGTATCCAGCTGTGGCCAATCTCTGATGGGTCAGAGGAAGGGGGCATGGGGAACCCAGAATCATGCACCCAGGTAAAATATTCATTCCCAACCTCTGCTGGAAGTAAGATTACTTCCCTTCCACTTGATACACCTGCATCCAAGGGCTTATTAACCATTTTTGCTACAGCATCGCTCATGCTAGGGGCATTATTCATGATGAGACCGTACATCTTTAAGTCACTATTTTCCAAGGTGAAGTTTCCCATTCTGCAGAGAGATTCTGGATTGTGGGTTCCTAGGTATGTTACCTCTTGGCTGTATTAAAATGTATGTTGTCAGACTGACAGCCTAACCAAGCAAGCCAGAGCACTCTAACAGTACCTTTCCCTCTCACATTTTGTAGTGCCACCTCCAGCCATTCCACCTGCCAAATTACCTTGCAAAGATTTTTACATCCACTTCTAAATTATGGATACCCATTCACTGATATCTCTCTATTGGCAAAGACCTTTCTACTTGAAAATGACTTCCACGCTTTATTTTAAGTAACTTAAAATATCTTTAGCAGATTTGTTGCTCATGGAAAAGTGTTACAACACTCTTGGAAGCCAAAGTCGTTTTTAAACTATGACCAGAGCTCAGGCAATGTTAATGCAAGCTCCTCCTTACTGCTGTGCCTCAAGCATTGCCTGGAAAGCCCACTCCTTGTTGTAAGCAGTTAAGTCTTGATCCCTGCTCGATCACCAATCTCTTTGCTGAGGCTGCCAACAAAAGAATGACTCATGCAAACAAATTCACATTACATTTAGACCATAGAAGGCAATACGAGAATTTTATATGCAAGAAGAAATAAATCATCTGGCTGTGTTCTCGCATGATTTCTAGATTAAAGAGAATACTGAATTCAGCCTCTACCAATTAGCATCTAATTTTGGATGGGTGCTGTAAACTGAAAGCTCCCGTAGCAAATTTTCATTCCCCATTTCTCTTTTTGAGCAAATGCTTAAATAATTATTGCTGCTTCTAGGTTGAAAATTTGCACCTTATTCCTTATTAGGGAGGTCTTCTGGAAAACAAATAAGATTCAAGTATAAAGAAGTCTTAATTTTAATTTTTTTAAAAAAATAGCACAATAAACATTCATATGCCCCAAAAATGTAATGTTGGGACAACATTTTTGAAAATGGTTCAGTGAATTTGGCATGGGAACCTAACACTTTTATATTACAATGAATTGAAATTGATAAAGATCAGATAAAGAAATGTAACAAATGACTTGCCTGAGTGAAATGGCCACACACGTTGCTGCAAGTGTTAGCTGTGTAACTATAGTACTTGACCTCACTTTGCCAACTGGTGATGGCCGCAGTCGCAGAAAATAATGAAAGGGAGCCAGTCCATATGTTTTCTCCAACTGGATTAAATCTGGGATGGGCCTGTCCTTTTATCTTGAGATAGATATTGTGTTTAAACAGGCATTTCTTTGCCCATGCCTTGGCGGTTTTTGCCAGATCTGGGTCCCAAGTCTGTAAAATGTAACAACAGACGCACATCATTTTGAGTCACAGTTATGTCATGTAGAGAAATTTCCTGGAGAGGCCACTGGCAGATGATGTAGATTTGCTCAGTCTTGGCCACCTCTGAGAGAGAATCAAACAATAAACAGTTCTGTGTGTTCCTTTATGATAAACCTGACCACTCATTCACCATCTGTTCTGCTGTGTCTGAACTCACAAGTTTAGAAGTTAGATGCTAAGTTTGATTGGAACATAAGTGTAAACAGATAAATTCTTGTGTTTAAAAAATAAGTTTCAGGAACATTACAGGTACTTTAAAGGAGACCACACACACACACACACACACACACACACACACACACACACACACACAGAGTCAAAATAAAAGCCTCATTAATGCATTTAGGTGTAGCCCTTTGACTTTCAGAGTCAGGTGAATTGCATACCATGAGATAAATTTATAAAGTTGCTGAAGCTCTAGCCATAAACTTGGACCAAAACATTTTGTATGTGGAAATGTTTGTTTTGAATCCATGTTTGTATAAGCAGATATTCATTTGCATATGTAAATGAAGCAGATCTGAGAACTGCTTAGACAGGCATTTGCACAGGAGTTGGGAATGTTTTTGCACATACAACTTGCTGGAATGAGGGAGTTATGCCTTTCTGAAAGTTCAAATCTGTGAGTGTATATCTATATTATGTTTTAAAGTTTCCTTTTAATATGTTTCTGCATTCTTTTTTTTTAATTTGATTTGAAGTAGAATTTCTCTAGCACACCTTACAACTGCATTGGTCTCTGGTGAATTATGCTTCTTATTGTCAGATTAATAGCAATTGCTCTGTTAAAGGCTATTCGCAGAATCCTACTTTACTTAACATACCCAAATAGTAGTTATGCACAGTTAGTGATCCTATTCCACGTGCAGTGGAAGCATCCACATAGCTACTGAGTCTCCACCATAGCCTGCACTCTGGCCAAGCAAGTACATACGTAGGTAACATTAGTAGGAATCTTTCCGTGGATTGTATTGGGGTCTGGAGCAGGCCCAGAGACTGTTTTATTAAAAACTACAACTGGTGAACAGGGGAAAAAAAGGTAGCCAAACACTATTCACAGTGAAGAATTTGACTGGCTGCATTCCTCAATAATGCTTAGGTGCAGAGCAGATGGATGAAGCCATTGTGTTGTAGTGCTGTTGACTACAGAAATCGATATGCCTTCATCTTATCGGTTGTATGGGCCACTAAACTTGGGAGTACCTTTTAGATTTGTAATGGAACCATAACCTCCCAATAAAGTGTATAATAATGTTAACATTAACATTTCTTTAGATGATGGAGTTATTACAAACATATTCAGCAGTGCTAATTGTATTTCTTGCAATTTGCATGTAAATAAAAAGGAAGTGGTGTTTTGTATATACTTCCTTTTTAACAAACAGTAGCCTTAGTTAATTCTATTTCATTTTATGTCTCAACCTAGAATTCAGATCTGAGATAAGGGTGCCAGGTGAAATAATGGAATCCTTTTGCCTCAGTCGTTTGTCTGCGGTTTTGAAGCAGTTCACGGTATGTGGTTTTGAATGAACTTTTATTTCACAATAGAATTGGCTCACCTCCCACTGTTTCTCCACTTCAAATACCTCATAGTAAAATAAAATCCTGGTGGGTGGGGGGGTTTAAAGAATGTCATGATTTTTAGTTATGGTATTAGCTGCAATATTTTTTTAATGCATATCACAAATGAAACATCATATGTGTGTTTAATGTAAAGCAAATCTGCACATAATTGCTGCAGTTTTAAAATGCTGCCTCCTTAGTAAGGACAAACCTTAGTAAGGTTTTGATAGGAAGAGCACTTTTAAAACAGCCTATACAATAAGTCAGGTAAGACTTGTACTTTCTTTGTAAGTTGTTAGAGTGTTGGAACACAAACACTATTTTCATGATTGTAAATAGGAGAAAAAAGGCTTTTTACAACATCCAATCAAAGGAATCATGAAAAAGAAAAAAAGCTTTGAAGCTATTGTCTCAGCAATGTTACTCATAGTTACTATATAAGTAAGTTCCCACTACTTAGTGGCCACTTATTTACCATGATGGACTCATTTTTTGACAAATTCAATTTTTGAACTGTTTGCTGGAGTCATAGATGCTTATGTCTTCGAACAGAGAAGCATATTCTTTCTTGGATGACTAAAATTCAAGTCAGAGCTTATGTGTCTCAGTTGTGCAGTCTGAAACTTCAAATGGAGATTTTTTCCAAGGAAGCAGTGTAGCCTAAGAAACAGCATGTAAAGTAAAAGAACTTTACCTAAAAGCTCTACCAAGTAAATTCATAGTATCCTTCCACTCCAGATCTAAGTATTAAAGGCATGCTTAGGGCTTCGGCTCTCCATTACCTGCTAAATAACTGAGCTGTGACAGTTTCATAGATTTCATAGACATCAGGGCTGGAAGGGACCTCGGAAGATCATTGAGTCCAGCCCCCTGCCCAAAGTAAAAATACTGAGTGGATAGGTAAGAAGGAAGTAAAAATTATTATATTTAATAAATGGTAGAGAGAAGGGGGGAGGCAGGGTTCCCATTCCAATGACTATTACAGCATTTTATACAGCAGGGCTGTCCAACTGGTGGCCCACATAATCCCTCATGGGCTGCATGGGGTAAGCCAAAACCCAACAGTTCTGCCCAACTGCTCCTCTCCCCACCCCCATCAGTCCAGCTGCAACTGCAGTTGAAAACTACTGGCTCTCCTACCCTCCTCCATCAGTTGCTTCTTGCTGCTCTCCCAAAGAATGGGGCAGTGCAGTGCTATGCAGGAAACAGAATGTGAGGCCGGGACCACAGACACACAGGCTACCTTACAGACATTTGAAAAAAAACAAACAAACCCCAAAAGGTGCTCTTTTTAAACTCAGCATTTTCCAATGCCAAGCCCCATGCACACCTGGAAGAGGCATTGCCTTAGCTGGACCTGGCTTGCCCAACATTTGTATAGATCAGGCAATTTAGTGGGCCTTTTTTTGGCACTTTTATCCAATAGTTTAAAACAAAGAGGATCTTCAAAGCATAATCCTCCAGCATGACAAAAACGTTTTAAACATCAGCCTGAAATGAAGCAGTGGTGAGGCAGCTCTGCATACAGCTATGATGATTAGACTGATTGAAATTATTCTAGACATTGTCAGGTTTTTTCTTTTCTTTTCTTTTCTTTTTAACTATTTCTTATGACCCCTGGAAGTTGCAAGTTGTTTTAGAAGCTTTCATAACCCATTAAAGGTATTTGTAAATACCAGCACACTATTACACACTCCTCATTGTACATAGATGGTGAGCATTCCCTTACCATGTGAAACATGTTGCTTGCTGGAGGATTCACGCTGGCTCGGAAATTGTTATGAACTCTCACACACTCCTCAATAAACTGTGAATCTCTAATACTAGGCAGAGTATCTGACTGATACGAGTAGCAGCAGATGGAGAGATCCAGTAATACCAGCACATGTAGTAAAAGTCTGATTTCCACGATTCTCAGATTTTGCTGTCCTTTCAGCTTCGAACGCTTGAACATTTTAGCTTTATAAGGTTCTCTTAACTCTGAAGGCAATGTTTGGCCTGGCAGGCTTTCAGGCTGGGTTTTATCTTGAAATGACTACCAGAAAGAGTATGTGTACAGGAAATATATCAGCTTCAGCAGTCTAAAGAATGAGGAAGGTAATACATCATATTTTGCATTTAAGCTGTGAAGTTTTTTTTCCAACCCTCCACCCCCATTTTTTTATTTTCGTTTCTGGTTTAATCTGTAGTAGTTTTTTTCTGAAAAGTACACACCCTTTCCTGTCTCTTCTTTTTCTCCACTCTGTCCCCTCCATCCAAAGTTACCATCCCGTCTCCTGAAACCTGACTAGGTTTTGCATTGAACAGGATCTGGCCATTACTGTAGTTTGTAATTTGTTCTCCCCGTGCACCACCAAGGGATTTTGTTCTCTTTGAATCAACACCATCTCAGTACTTACTAAGATAGTATAAGAAACATTCATTCAATCCAGGAAGAGCACAAACCAACTGCAGAGATGTCCTCAGCCTGACAAAGGGTTTTTAAATCCGAAAGCTTGCCAAAATTTTTTCCCAACTATTTAAGTTGGTCTAATAAAAGGTATCAGATTCACCCAAAGAACCTTGTCATTCTGAATGGGGACACTTATGGACAAGATGTTTAGCTATGTTAGAGAACAATGAGATTTACTGGGATTAATATAATTGGGGCTAACTACAGACATTTGGGGACATTAGGGGGAAGTTAAACTGGTTCAGAATCGTTGCCCAATATCAAGTGAGTCAGGATGGGGGAGGCTAGTTGGGGGTCCAGCCAGCTGGAGGGGAATGGGGGTCCATCATAGATGTGAGGACAGGTATGGCCCACAGGTGGAGTAGAGGGCAGATGCAACCCACAGGGTTTTGCTGGGGTCTGGGAGTGTCTGGCAGGGTCTATGGGGGGGGGGAATCAGGGGCTACTTTTTAGCCCCCCGAACTCTCCCCAACAAACCTACACCCCTATCCTTCCCGCACCAGGACTTACTTGTTCGGCTCTGTCAGCAACAAATGCTGATAAGTGGCTGCACCTGGAGCAGCTTCTGGGATGGGGGTTGAGAGGGTTAGCTGGGCGGGGAGGAAAAAGGGGTGGGGAAAAAATAGCCCAGTGGTGGGGGCTGTGGTGAGAAGAGATGCCTGGGTCTGGGCTCAGTACCTGGGTTTTCCCAGCCTTTGGCTGCGCAGGGACAGTGTACAAACGTTTGTTGCACCAGTGTGATCTAAATCGAATAAGTTTGATGATACCACATAGACCCAGGTTGATCTTAAACCAGGTTCTTCAATTTTTAGACTGGTTTGTGTGCACGGCACTTGTGTTCAGTTACAGGTTTAGACTGATCGACCGTCACTGAGACCGGGTCTGTAAGTGTAAGGTTGGCACTGTGACAAGCTAAGTTTAAATTGGGCAGCCATTTTGAACCTGATTGAACTTCCTGGATGCCTGTACTTAGGACAGGAACGAGCACTATACTCACAGGTCTCAGACCGTGTTTGCCTTATTGTACAGCAGCCGTTAGCTGTGCGCTCATTTTAGAGCTGTGCTTGGAGGTGCACGATAGTTTGATTTCAGCCCCAGGTCGACGGCTTGTGGAGCAGATCATTCATTTACCAAGCCCCAAATCCACAACGGGACTTGGGAAGGACAGGACTTAGCTCTTACATTTCTTCTAAGGCACCTAGATCAGGGAATGGAATTCACTACCCGGGGTAGGTGCCCAACTGTTGTGCTGTGCCCTGCGGGGAGCATTACATGCCTAGGAATGGGCTTCACAAAAGGTAGCGCTCTGAGCAGGGACTGCTTTAGTAGCTAGGAGAAAATGCGCGCACGCGCGTGAGAGAGAGAGGTATGTTTGAAAGTACAGCCCTCTCCTGAGCTTAGCCACCTCCCTTTAGGATTGCCTACACTGCTGCAGGCCCACACTCTGGTGCTTTTGGGCACACTGTACTCACCTGAGTCTGCAGGCCTGCTCCAGACCAAGGATGTGCCACTGAGGCCTGTCTGAGCTCTTCCCCAGTGCCCGCTCTCAGGCCCGCTGGAGACAAAGTCCTCGTGAAGGTGCAGAGGTGAAGCAGCTGTGCTGAGCTGTTGACAGCTCTGGAGCGAGGGCTGTTGGGGCTGCTCCTATTCCCCTCTCTGGATGCTGGGATCCGCCACTGCTGCCTCAGTCTAGACAGGCTCTGTGCGAGATCAGGATTCGCAGCCCTTACCCCTCTCCTGGATGAAAGCTTTATCAGCCCTGCTAGCTGTAAGCAACCATAAGGCTGCCCTCCAGCCTACCCCTGTCATCTGCCTGCCTTGAAAACCTCTGAGTGCAACCCCAGGAGGTCTCCAGAGAAGTCCCAGAGCCCTGCCCTGCGGAACTGCGGGGTTGGAGGGCCAGCCTGCCTTGCTCACCCCCCTGCAGCAAGTGTGCCTCACCCAGGGGACGCAGGCCACAAGTGTAGGAGTCCACTGCTTGCCTCTGTCCCACTACTTCCTCCCTTGGGCCTCCTTCCCCCAGCACCCTTCCACCCTGTACTTAAAGCTAGTCATGGGAGATGACTCAGGCAGGCTGGTTTTGCTTTCAGTTATAGACAGGATTTTGCTTCTGGTTATAGACAGAGAGGGATTTCTATAAACAGGGCTGGGGCTGGTTTAGGGCAACCTTCCCTCCGTGTCCTGGTTATTTAGCTACAGAGTCATAACTGTGAGGCTCCTTATTCAAATAATTATTTTTTCAGGCAAATGTCTATTTTTCTATCTGCTCCCAGAATTATTAACATAAATTGTAATAAAATATACAATATTTCAGTCCTAAAGCAAACAATAAATGGAACAAATACTGTTGAAGTCAGGACAGAGTAAAATATTTCATAGGTCATCCTGCAACAGGGGCATTCCCCTGAATAAGCTGGGACGGGGTACAACCTAACCTGGAGCTTTGCTTATCAGTGACTTGGTGCCAAGTAAGACTAGGTCAATCTCCCATGTGCCT